TAGCACATAAGGAGCAAATAGGACATTATACAGAAAGTTACTATTCACTGAATAAAATATATGAAAAATGATGCAAAACAAGGCTTTTCTTTTTATGCTCAATAGTGATGTTGCCACTCAAAACAACAAAACAAGTCAAAGCATACTTTCATTGTATATTCAACCCCATGCACGTCGTGAGGTAAGTTAGGGTAGATTGACAACAGACAACCCAGACCACATCATTTTTGTTTTTGTTATTGCCTGCTCATAAGAGTGATATGTTAGAGAAAAAGCATCCTGAAATAGATTAAAAAAGAAAAATAATGGGTAATTGGTGATAACGATCCAATTTGGTTGTATTTTTCTATTATGTGCACTTTTACAAACATGTCTTCTTCTTTGAGTATTATTTGAAATTCTATTAAGCACACGACTGGAAAAATAATTAAAGTGAATAGATAAAGTTTTATAATGCCTATTGAAACAGAATGGGACATTCTCCATCATTTATAATTGCCTAAAACAGATTTCATTTCTAATGCCTTTGTGCATTTACAAATTGCTTCAGCAATGCATGAGTCGTATATCTTTTATTTAAAACTTTCAATTTGCTTCCACAGGAAGGTCATTCTGAAATTATTCTGGAGGACAGCGCCTATGTTGGTAATATTCTTGTTATTTTCAGTAAATAACTTTGATAACTGACAGGTTGTGGCCAACAGGAGCGACAGTTTGCATTTTCCTCAGCATTAATTATCTAAAAGAATTATCTAAAACAGTCTCAGAGACGCTTGCGAATGTTTTTCCACCTGCATATAGTTCAAAGTATATTCAAAACTGTGTTTTAAACGTCGGAAAATATGCTTTTGGGAACTTAAGCTTTCATTTTCAGAGGGAAATAAATCATTCAAGGTCTAAAACTTGCACAATATTATTATTTATATCACAGCTGTTCAGCACTTTGAGCAAAAGCAAACTACTTTTTACAGAAATTACAATTAGCCGAAGAAACATACAGACTTTTTTTTTTACATATTAAAGTTAATTATTATAGCAAACAAGGTGTGTGTTTGGATACTAAAATGTCAAAGCTAATGGAATAAAAGGATTGTCTTGTCTTGTCATTGCCTCTGTATAACTGCTAATGTACGTTTACTTTGTAACTATGTTGGTAAATAATAAACATACTGTTTCAGAGTAAAAGGGTGTAGTAGGATTTTACATATTGTCAATTAACGGCAAGACTAGGAAACTTGAATTAAAAAGTAAATCCATGGAAAAGGAAATAAGACCGAAACTCTTACAAATAATCGCATCATCACTCAAGACGTGTGTGCACTTCAGCGGAGCGTGGTGAAAACGGGCTATGGGTGCAAACCAGCCATCTCTCTTCGAACCACACAAAACCAACATTTCATATTAAATCGAGCCTATACACATAATATCAGCACGCTCACACAGCCATCGGAAACAAAACACTTCAGGACCATGGACAGTGACCGGCGATCATGGCGTGTTGGAACCCACAATCACAAGCATTGCTTTATTATTTGATTGGCACAGCCGCCTATTCAATATATGTTGTGGGTTATTTGGGAAAACGGTTATTAGCCTATGCGAAATGAAAGTGCATAAAATAATGGTAAGGTTACAAATTGCCCGGTGTTTCGGTGAATTAAGTGACCCTGTTATCTGGAGACTTCGTCACTTCTTCCCCTCGTCACAGACGCGTTCGGCTGAAAGTCTCCACTTAACACTGTCGCTTGATAAACCGAAACACCGGTTATTCTGCATGAGTGCGTTCCCAAATATAACGTCACGTACAAAACATTGGCAGCCAGAATAAATCATTTGGCACGGCAGCCTATTAGATTTTTTTAAATAACTTACCTTTTGATGATCGCATTTATTGAAAACTTGGATAAACTTCATAAATCATAAAATCCGTATTTGTCCCAGGAGCAACTCTCTGCGCCGAACAGGAAGCAATTAGTTAAATTCAATTCAATTCAATTGAATTTATTTTTGTACAGCCCAAAATCACAAATTACAAATTTGCCTCAGAGGGCTTTACAATATGTACACATTTGACATCCTCTTGTCCCAGGACCCTCACATCGGAAGAGGAAAAACTCCCCCAAAAAACCCCTTTAACGGGGAGAAAAGAGGAAGAAACCTGTGGGAGAGCAATAGAGGAGGGATCCCTCTCTCAGGATGGACAGAAGTGCAATAGATGTCATGTGTAGAACAGGATAGTGAATTACAACACATTCAATGTAATTACAGCACATTCAATGTATGACAGAACCACGGCAGGAGGCAAGACCTGGTCCAGGTATAACCCGGATACACAGGAACCTGTGAGGCGAGAAAGCACAGAGACTCTGGTGAAGAAGCAGGTCAATAATGTGCATTAATGGTATCGGTAATATGAAATAGTAATGCGAGTAATAATAAAAGTGATATTAGCAGTTGGAGTCAGCAGGGCCATGGTAGGAGGAAGGACCAAGGTCCAGATGAAACCATGCTCCATGGAAACCTGTGAGGAGAGAAAGCACAAGGACTCCGGGGAAGAGACAAAATCAGTACTGTGCATTAATGGTATCGGTAATTGGGTTAATAATGAGGATCGTAGTAGGTGTCAGCAGGGCCATGGATGGTTGAAGGACCAGTGTCCAGATAAAACTGTTAGTCATTAGTTGACATGCTTCCCAAAACGTTTGGTTTTCTGCACCAAATTGAGCTCTGTTGTGAGTCTTCAGTTGCTCCAACACGAAAAGTTTATCTTGATAACAGCGTGGGGTAATAAATCCGGAACGACGTCCTCCTCACGGCTTCCATGGTGAACCAAAAAAGAAAGTCGAGTTTCATTAGTAACACGTGACCATCCAATTTTTTTGTGTTGTAATAAGACACCAAAAGGGTGTCTCCCCTTTAAAGTGTTTATTCCCTCTGATTTGAATTGATAAAATAAAATTCAAACTTTTTAAATAATGTTTTTTTAGAATATCTTCCGTTCTGGCACACACAGAGGCTGAACATATACTCTATATACCCTGCCCCTTGTGCTTTTGTCAATGTTGTCACCGGCCTTTGAAGGGGTATGTAATTGACACGGTAGGTGCACAATGTAAGCTGCAGGGAAAGGGGAAATAATGTCATGTCACACTCATGTATGTAGTTCCCCTACATCTCACTATAAATACACTCCATGAACACACTTCTGCTCCTCATTTACAATTTCCTCATTACTTTATGCTCCCACCAACAGCTTTCCCATTCTCCTGCCTATATCCATCACTTATCTCTGTGTGAGTGTTGAAGTTCTGTGTTAAATAGCATGCCAACAGACCACGGCCTGCGCATTTGTCTTTACTAAAGGCAAACTCGTAAAACGCTTCGGTGAATACACACCTGGCTGGTAAACTGTTGGATAATGAATGTTACACCTGCTTCTCATTTTGCATGCTGTTGTTTTAGTCTATAGATGTTAATTACTTTGAACTTCATAAGGATTCACCTCACAGGGGCATGCTGCTTTGGGCATCTGAGGGGCAGCTTTAAGACAGTGTTAAGGTTACAAGTATACTCAGGGAAACAATAAGTATAGAGGAGAGGATGTGGTGTTATACCATATAGATTGTAGAACCCTTTAAACATCATTTTTCATTTTGGGTTGTATAAACTAAATGTAGGCTAAACTGAGTTGTTGGTGTTCCCCAAGTTTGATTCATTATGTAACTGACATCATGATGCAGGCTGAGAAGAGATCCGGTTTTTATATTTAAGAAATGTGTCTAATGTGACTTTTATTTATTCAGAAAACATTTGGGAAAGTGTGTAAACATCTCAAGTTGTCCATGTTTGAGAAGATGACTCACTTAAAAAATGAAAAGATGGACAATACAAAAGAACAACAGAGGATGTAAACACTTGAATAGCTGTTGCCACAGCAACCAATCTGGTGCAAGACAGAACTGAAACACACAGCTTGGCAAACATTGTTAATTATACTTTTGGTTTGTGGGCAATTTAGCTCTATAGGCTGAAATAACGGATTCCAACTTCACAGAAAAAGTTTTAAGGGCAATTTTCCAACCAATATAAGCAGATAGAGTCTGCATCTCCAGATTTGGGGATTTTAAGAATTGTCCTTCATTTATGTGTTATGTACTTCTTGGGCCACTAGAGGGCAACATGCACTACATCTATCTGGCGACTACAATTTGTTGTGCTGTTGTTGAATTATGAAAATATATATATTTTTTCTGTATAATTGTGTTTATTCCACTTGTGCATTGTTTGAAATTAAAATGAATTACCAGCAATCAATACCCACCAACAATTCTATATTTTTGAGTGGATGAGAAATCAATGGAGACAGTTGCATATCTGCATATGTTCATAAACAGTCCATAACACTCAGAAAACGTGTTGTGGTAAAACAAGTTGGCTTCCCCCTTTTCCCGTCTCTCTCAGCTGTTCAGCCCCATGTGAGCATTGACACAGTGCCATCTAGTTGTAATAAGTAGCCTACAGTCACATCTTCCCACCCGGCTACATATACATGTATTTTTGTCAGACTAGTCAAACCAGTAGTTGTCTTTTTTCTTCCATTCTGAGTTATCACTTAAGGTTTTGGGTTTCATACCTAAATATAACATTCAACAGATCAATATTTTTTTAAACAAACTGTCAATCATGTTGGTACTTTTGGGCTTTCGGGCTTTTATTTTGAAGATCCGCAGTCAGATGGCGACGTCACAGCACACGAGGAAGCCCCGATGACAAGGAGGAAATCAGCTGGTTATAAGTGTTCCGTGTCTGTTTGTGACATGGTATTGTCACTTAGCATGTAAAGTTAACTCGAATAACTTTATCCGAGAGAGATTTTCCTGCTTTTTGTTCCCCGCTGGTTGTCTTCCAGTCATGGCGAAGTCACTGTGTGTTGTCCTCATACTTTTTGCGTCTATTCACGACTGTGGTGAGTACTGTCTGTCAAAACGTTTTGTCAGGTAAACTGCAGTGTACTGGAACTAACCATTTCTATGCTACCTAGCTAGCTATAGCACTGCCTTAGTATTTAAAAACAGAAACCAAAATACAGTTTCATGTCTTCCCTCTCTTCTACTTACCCAGCATGCAATGTCTATAGTAATCTCCTATAAATGTTGGCATTTAAGAAAAAAGAAAATATTGTGCGTGTGTGTGTGTGTGTGTGTGTATATATAGAGGGGGCCCTGCGCTTTGCCTCCTACTATGGAGACCACATGGTGCTCCAGAAGTCTCCAGAGAGCGCTGTGCTGTGGGGCTATGGCCCTGAGGGTGCTCAGGTGACCGTCACCTTGTCAGGACCCTCTCAACAGAAAAAATCATTGGTCAATGTGGCAAAAGGTGAGTGCACCCCCTTTGTTGTCGGGCGTGTGTTGACATCCACAGGCTAGTGAATAGGTCGAACAGGGACTGATATGGCAGAGGAATCATTTGTGAATCTGAGCTTTTGTTGTTAACCACTGTTAGGACAGTTATGGTTATGGGCTGAAAAAAATGTGGAAGTTCTGGTCACATGTCTCAGTTGGGAGTATAAAGGATATGAATGTTTCTTCAATCTGTCTCCACTCCTTAATCAGCTGATGACTACCCATGTCAGACAATGTGGCGTTTTCACAGCAGACATTTTGACTTTTTAAAATGGTAGACAAAGCAGAGGCCTGCGTTACTTACTAACAACACTAAGGACGGCTCTGTTGTGTTCAAGTGACAGTGACACTGAGCCAACAGGCACAGTACCAGGACCCTAAAATCAAAGAAGCTAAAGGGAACTAATTACACCTGTGCTTTTCCTACTGTGATTCTGTGCACATACACCGTACACGTGCACCTTATTCTGTACACAGTGCATGTTCAATGTTATTTTTGCAGGTATCTGGCGTGTCACCCTTGACCCGGTTGAAGCCGGTGGTCCCTACAATTTGACGGCAGTCGTTCAGAGCAGCACAGCCGCTCTGACAGATGTGCTGTTTGGAGATATTTGGCTGTGTGGAGGGCAGAGCAACATGTGGTTACAAACATCTAAGGTGGGCTGAGCCGGGTGAACGCCTGTCTGTCTCTCTGATCAGCCCATTCATTGTAATATAAAGAAAACCCTTTCTGCTACACACAAAACACAGGAAGTTAAATTACATTAGCTTCATCTCTGAAGATTTGCTGTAGTAGTCAGAAAGGTGGAAGCGTTCCAGACATAAATAACTTTCTATTTGATATGTATGCATTTATTCATATTTTATTGTTTACTGAACTGTTTTATGAATTCATTCATCCCAATAGATTTTCAATGCGTCAGAGGAGCTGGACCTTGCAGCGAAGTATCCTCATGTGAGGACTTTTATGGCAGCCTTAAACCTGAGTGAAATTGAGCAAACTGATTTGCTTCAAGTGGAGCATACCTGGGCTGTGCCGCCAGAAAGTAAGTCCAGGAGTTGTTTATTTATTCATAGAATTGTTTAAAGAGGCGTTTCCGGCTAGAGGTTTAGGTTTGGGTTATTGAACTGCAACAGAGCCAGTTGCAGTGTACTAGAAACATGCATACATTGTATATGTTCCTGGTGCATTTTGTTTAGGTGCGTACGTCCACCTACTTGAATTCTGCTGATTAATTAACAGGCTGGTGTATTTCCAGATGTGGCAGACTTCTCTGCAGTGTGCTGGCTCTTTGGACGCTACTTGTATAAGACGCTGCAGTACCCCATAGGACTAGTGGAGTCCTGTTGGGGGGGCACACCTGTCGAAGTCTGGTCATCTTCAAGAGCACTGAAGCGGTGTGAACTGCTGCAAACCTACAACAAGTATGAAAACAAACGCAATCTAGCAAACCCGCCCCTGATAGGTGTGGTAACTGATTTACAACACGCACTGTTCTCAAGCTCGTGTAACATTTATTTAGCTTGCACTATTTTTGCACATTAAAATCTCTCAGTCCTAAAGAGAATTCGATCTTGTGGAATTCAATGATTCACCCGCTGCTCAACATGACCATCAAAGGAGCCATCTGGTACCAAGGTAAGACTACCTGCACAGGTATCAGATGTTCAGTATAGCCACATATATGTATGACATGCATCTGTAAGCCTTGTGTTGCTTTCAGGTGAGGCGAATGCAGACTATCATCAAGATCAGTACAACTGTTCCTTCCCTGCTATGATTGATGACTGGAGGATGGCATTTCACCAGGGCTCGGGGGGGCAGACGGCTCACGACTTCCCGTTTGGATTTGTCCAGGTATTTTACTGTCAGGCGGCAACCTCCGGTTCTGCAAAGGGAAGCCAATGCGGAAGTGTCTAAAAACGTGCATTCTCTCTACTGACCAGCAGGGGGCGACTCCTCCGGTTGCAAAAAGAAGTCTAATTTTATAGAAGTCTATGAGAATATTACCCTGCTTCTAACTTGATTTATTCTCTCAGTAAACATTCTGAACACAAGTTTATTCTTTCAATCACTAGTTTTCAAGTCTTCAATACAGTCTCTACGTCACTACTCTGCGTTCCAAATATGGTAACTTCCGTTGATTGGTTGCAAAAAAACAACATGGCAACGGCCGTAATCTAAGATGGCGATGGCAAAATCACTTTTCAATTTAGTATACGTATTCAGATTGGATTTTTCACAATGGAAACAAGTACAGATAGCAATACATTTAAGAAAGTAACAAGGAGGTCTATAGTGTTTTTAAAAAGTTCTGTCGGATTAGCTAGTGTTTTGCAGTTTTAGCTAGCTAGTTAGCTGCCGGGAGATTTGTTTTTAGCAATGCTAGCTACCCGGGCAAAAACAAGAGTCGTTCAATGCTACTTTGGTACCGAGGTCGTGGTCTGTGTTTTCCATCATTTTTAGCTAGCTATGTAGTTAGCAAAATGACTCCGCTCCTCCAGACTTTAGACAGAGGTTTGTGATCAATGTCTGTCGCCGTTTCTCTGTGAGGTTTTTAAACTTCTCACCTTTGTGTCCAACTATTTCGGGACTCAAAAGTAGCCCTTGTTTTCCCCCCGATTTGATCGGTTTAAAAAGCGCAAACCACAGGCCTTATTGCTTCAGTGTTGGACCTGCCTCCAGTTGCCTGCCCTACATCTGGAAAGCACGCTGATGTGTGATGTAATCTGCAAAGAAGCTATTATTGACTTTAGTGCCCCCTTGTGGTTGTATCAAAGAAGAGTGTCGCAGACAGCAATATGTACCCATAGAAAGCTTTCACAAATATCTGCAGTATTGTAAATCTAATCCAGGATGTCTTTGTACTGCAGCTGTCCACCTACGAAAAAGGCTCCAAGAGTGACGCTTTTCCGAACATCCGCTGGCACCAGACCGCAGACAAAGGCTTCGTCCCGAATCCCCGGATGCAGAAAACCTTCATGGCCGTGGCTTTAGATTTACCGGATGCAACATCACCATTTGGCACGTAAGGATTGTGTTTATATGCACTCATAGCATATGAAATCTGTACAACACAGAGGAGCATTACATTTTGATACTTATGTGTAATTACTTACTGGTAGAACATCAGGAACTGTGCAAATCCTTCAGAGATTTAATCAACAATTCTTATGAACTGATGTGGTGCAGAGGGTCAGCGCTATTTTTAACTACAACACGCGTGACCTTTTGGAGTTTATTACTAAACTACATTCATTGAAGCAAAGAGCTCAAATCTTACCTGTTTCTGCTGCGGCTTCCAGTTTGTGTTTAAGATCCTCATAAACATCTATAAAACTTTCATGGACTTGGCCCTGATAGGCTGCCAAGACACACAAAGTCCCAGGCATTATTCTCACATCACCAGACTGTGAAACAGCTTTCTGCGTAGTGAGGATGTGACCTGCTTTTGTATTTAGTGATGAGTCCTGTATTGACTTTCAACCTCCCTATCTGGTCTTACCAACTGGTTCATCCATGATATTTGTTAAAATTATTAGTGTTTTTTGTTGTCTTTCAGGATCCATCCACGGGACAAGCAGGATGTAGCCTACAGACTGACACTGGGAGCAAGGGCAGTGGCTTATAATGAGAAGGACGTGTCCTTCCAAGGGCCTTTCCCCAAGCTAATCCTGTCGGCTCATGACTTTATCAACATAACCTACGACCAGAATGTCTCTGTCACACCATCTAAAGACATCTTTGAGGTGAGGCTGGCAGCGGTACACTCAGTTTGAGTGATGCCCCATATTCACCTGCTGGATTGGTTAACAATGCTAACGCAAAAACTACATGATAATTTCTTCTATTTTTTTTATTTTTTTTTTATCAAGATCTGTTGCTCAGAGATTCAGACTCCATGTGGGCCTAAGTCTTCCTGGGTTCCAGCTCCCATCATGCACTGGGGTCCGGCCACCGTTCAGTTATCTACCAGTTTGTGTCAGTCTACTGATAAAGTAGCTGCCCTCCGATATGCATGGGGAGACTGGCCTTGTGACTTTAAAGCCTGTTCGGTCTACAGCGCCAGCAGGATTTTACCTGCGCCTCCTTTTATTACCAACCACTCTCCAGCCAAAGGAAACCAGGAACTGTAAGAAGACAAAGTGATGGAAAAAGTGCCTTTTTTCTTTTAGGTCAAAATGAGCTGATTGGACCGATATGTAGTCAGATTTACCACAAGATGACGACACGGTGGATTGTTACTGAGAAAGCTAAATTTTGCAGTTTTTCAAAGATTAATACACTTCAGAGGGAAGAATTTATTTTATTTTTCTTATACTTGTCAGTTTGTTTTGATTTGACTTAAGGCAATCAATTTGGGTAAGTAATAAGTGAGTCTGCTCAGAGTGGGCCAGTGCCATTTTGGTTACATTGATTATCCTGTAGACAATCTATGATGTTACAACCACTGCTAATAATTACTGGACCGTGTGTAGAAAAGCATGACTGATGTTTTATTTGAACAAAACTCTGGATTTTCAAGTTTACAACACAAATTAATTTTTGTAACTGAACATTATTTGCACGAATAAATGATAAAACTAAGTTTGTGTGGGTGTCTTTCATTTAAGGCCAAAGCTTTAACTTGCAAGTAAAACAAGATGGCAATACAATAAAATTATTGATTAATCAAAATTGACTTGTACTTTTTGATTTCCAATTAGTAAAAAAAGTTTAACATCAAGTGGGATTCAATTTCTAAAATCCAGCACATGTTTATATACATACAGAAATGCAACCGTCTATACAGATGTGTTATTGGCACATTAAGCACAAAGCTAACTCTAGTATAGTTGCATCAGCTATATTAGCACACATCCCCCAGCAATGCTGTCTGGGACTCACTAGAAGACGTCATACAATAAATAACAGCTCTGAGTCCTGGGAGGGGGGGGCAATTCACTTTCAGGGTCAGGAGCTGAAATACGAGGTAGAGGGCTTCATGGTGGGGGAGGTCAGGTGGTGCTGATGAGATGAGCTAGGGGACTGCGGTGCCTGTCCTGAGGAGAGACAGATGGATGAAACAAATGATCAATGCTGAGCGATCATGCATTAGAAAATACAAGAGGTAACAACTATAAGTACAGTGAAATACATTTTGGCCATACTTTTACTTTGAAATACTAATTACATTCTGTGACATTTGACAGTTGTGGAGAAAGACACCAGATTTTATTGTTTCCCCATCTGTGACCTCCTAGTCACAAGCCCAGCTGTTAAACCTGGAGGGTACCTGTCATGTGCTCCGTCTTGATGTTGTCAACAAAGCCCCGATGTCTCTGGTAGGCCTCAAAGTTGACTGAGGCATTGTCCTCCGACAGGCTGTGAGGAACCTGGCCGTCGCCCGTGCGACACACCTCAAAGCGGATCCATCGGTAGCTAAGAAAAGTTTAAAAGATGATTGAAAAATATGAATCATGCAATGTTTCATGTAAAATGAAATGTATTTTCTTTATAACGTGGAAACACTAACACGAAAACAAGTCATTCTTAAATCATAATCTGCGAGTCAGAAAAGATGTGAAGTGCATGCTGTGTGTTGTAGCTGGTAATCTTATATCACATGGAGTGAGGGTGAACTTACTTGCTACATTTGCGCGCTCCGGGACAACTCTGGATGAGATTCTGGATGGTCGGGTGTGAGAAGCCGAAGAAGTCAGCCCCCGATGGCACGATGGGCGCCACAGACTTGGAACTAAGAAAAAAGGACATGTTGAAAGTTATGAAGTAAAGTTGACTCGGTCTTCTGAAAATACTTGTTTTGGAAATATGGTGGACAAATCAACCACAAACACAATGCAAAGCCTTTGTGGGGAACTGTGGTACCTGACGGACGCGATGGCCTTCAGTAGGTTGGAGTGGCACGTCAGGGCCGAGGAGGCCACGATGGCATTCTGAGGATCCTCTTCAGGCACAATCTCAAACTGGTGGGACAATATAGGATCACGTGTGTCAGTGAACTATTTCATTCATACTGTTTCAAACTGAACTGAACACGACTTAATCGACGAGGTCGTACGTCCATTTTGTTGTGTTCACTTGGATGTAAAGAGAGACATTTATTTATCTTTTTTTCGTCCTGACTTCATTAACAACTGTGTGTCTACCTGTGGACCTGCTCCCACATCCTTGATTTGGCAGGTGTAGAGGCACTGCTGGTCGGGGCTTTTCATGCTGGCAAAGACCCGAGTGCTGCAGAAGCCCACCGGGTAGATGGCGCACTCATCATGGAACAACATCCTGTCTGTGATGATCTGCAGAGCAATCAAAAGTTTATATTTGGTGAAGCTTTTTATGATTGTATAGAGGCTGTCGTAGACTTTATCTATTGAACTACCATCTGATGGACTTGTCTTAGCAAGAAGACAGCATGTATGTACTAACAACTATAAATAGGATATAACATGTGAGGCTGGAGTTCAGAGGCTCACCATGACTGTACCGCGGTGATTATAAAGCTATGGCATGTGATCAAAGACACACACTGACCTCTCCCAGGCTGTAGACCGTTAAACCTCCCAGTACGATGGGGAAGACGGGGCGGCCAGACGAGTCCAGAGCGATGGGCTGCACCAGTTTCCGAGACCCGTCGGCCAGCTTTCTCTTCTTAGATGTCTTCTTTGGAACTGAGGAAACACGAGACAACAAAACAATGGGCCAAATGTCTTGAAAGGTGAACGTGAACCATTCAAATCTGCATCAGTACTCACATTCCTCCTTTCCATTTTCCCTGCCTCGCTCTTTCCTTTCCTTCTTGGGTTTTTTGAGAGGTCCCTCTTCCCCCGTTGATGCCAGGTTGTGCCCCCCAGACAGGCCTGAAGCCCCTGCAGCACCTGAGGTCAATGCTGCAGGCGGTCCAGGCGGATGAGAGCTTGAGCTCGGTGTGGGCAGTAGCTCCCCCTCTGAGAAAGACTGGTACTGCAACAAGGACTTCAGCAAAAACCTGGAAATGAGAAATAACATGAATATAAAGGAATCATTGTTTCACTTTTTTAAGGGTTACATGACATAAAACAATTTTTTAGAATCACTACAGGCCATCGATTACGTACAACAGTAAAAGACGGTCCTTGCTAAACGCCCATTTCTTGAACATTATGTGACGCATGCTATCTGAAACTTGTCCACTCACCTCCGCTCCTCCTTAGCTCTCAGAAACTTCTCTTCTAAGTGGGCAACTTCATCACAGAGAGCTGCATTCTCCTGCAGGTAAAACAGTGCAACAACACTGACAGTTAAAGAGCTGTGCATCGAAACTGGAAAATTCTAACAATACCATATCGTATTTGCCTGATGTGAAAGAAAACTTGAAATAAAACCAGTCATGGCTTTTTCAGGAGTCAGTCGTTTACTCACAAATATCATGGCGCGGGCAACTTTGCGCAGTCTCAGGTACTTGAGTTGGTACTTTTCATTTAGTTTTTTTCGTGGGCCTCTCTTCACCTTGGTCCGATGCTCTGAGGAACTGGTGGGGGAGGGGAAGGCGTGCCCCGAGGCCCCCGAGCCAGAACTGGAGACGGTATTGTGCTGTGGGGAGCCGAGGAAAGACTGGGTGGTGAAGGCCTGCAGGGCCTGCTGCCGCTCCTCGTCCGTCTGTGAGGAAGCAGAGGGGGAGAGCAACACAGAGATCTGATCTTCACGTGGACCACCGCTACCTGACGTCAATGCGTGTGTGGCCTTCAGGGTGATGGATGAAAATACATGCAAACGATAAAATAACACAGATGGGGCTTGAACTTTAAACCGCTGTGTGACAAACAATGACAGTTACTGAAAACAAAATGTGCACGAGATAATTCTAACCAAACTAATTCTAAATTAAGATATTATTTCTACTCTGAATATATTTCACAACAATATATTTTCCGGGAGGATTTAACATTTAAATCTGTTCAACTTTGGAGCTCAGCTTCTACGTTGTAAGTACGGACAATGTGGTAGTTAAAGGATTCTTAAGGACTTATTAGTAATGAAACCATAATTAGATAGATTAGACAATTAACTTCTTAATCTCACTGATTTAAAATGATGCACTTCTGGATTATGCAGATACATCACCCCTCATGTCCTTTAATCAGATTATAAGGGCATGAATAGCAGTTAAGACTGGACACCTTACCTCTCCGACATCTGAGTGCCGGATAAAATTTAATCTCCACTGCAAAAACCCTGCATCTTAATGATTACATGTCTATATCATCAAACTACAGCTCTGGACCCATATCTTGTGTGAACAGCAACACCTCAGTATTTATCCATGACCAATAGTCTGGCATTAAAAAGGTCAACTGCATGTTCAATATCCCATTACGTATTTTGGTTTTTGTGTGAAATTGGCATTAGTGTCCCATTTAACTCACCAGCAGTGCAAAGACTCCGTTTCTGTTCTCAATCCTCTTGAATCTCCTGCTGCCTTTTTGTGTCTGAAACATAATGCGAGACTGAGGCCAATGCACGGGGGGGGGGGGCTGGAAACCCCAAAATTTGATTCCCAAAACCTGAATCACTTTAGATTAAGTCCACCATTTGATACAGCAGTTTCACAGCTTCTGCACCACAGCACAAACGTCTGCCTCTTTTTTTAATGTCGTGAAATTAAGACCAAAAGAAGCAAGATGGAAAAACATGGAGAAAGACAAACATTTGTAACAGAAATACAGACAATGCATGTACTGTATACACTGAACCAACACAGATGTTAAATGGAGGTGCAGGTGGTTGTACTCGTCAGCAGAGGCTGCTGTCAGACTGCAGCTCAAACGTCCTCCTTACCTCACGGTACATGACGGCCTCCAGGCTTGACTTCGCACTGCCAAGGAGAGGAGAAACAAAACAAGTTTAAATGTAGACTCAGGAACCAGTTTGCTATCTACTAAATAATAATAATGGCGCTCAGGATTTGGCTTAATATGTGAGAACATGTGCAATAATACGTGTAGTAGATTGAGAGGATTGCCGTACTTGGATTGAACAAGTCCCCTGTCGATGATTTTCTGTTTGATCTCCTTTATGTGCATGGGACGCCCAGCTTCTTCCAAAACAATCTATGTGAGAGAAAGCAGAAACACGTAAGAAACAGTCTCGATTGTGGCAAATGTCACTAATAATACCACGCTGAAATATACCTGTGCAGCATCGAGCCACGTCAAGTTTGGCTTCTCTGATATTTCACTTGGTGGTTCGCTGCAAATGGAAAAAAAAACAAAAAACAGTTGGTATCATCCAGTGTAACAGTCTTATTTATATTTATGTCAAATAATAGAACGGCACCGGCTGCAATGGTCATGTGGCAACTGTAAACACCCTACTCTGTGTATATATTTTGAACTCTACAACTTGTGGGATTAGAATCACTTGATACCAAAAAGCCCGTGTAGGAAATCATCAAATCTGATTCGTATTATGATTTGCTTCCCTGTGAGCACACCCCAAGATGGGTGGGATGCTCTTTTCTGCAGCAATCCCACTCTGCAACCTAAATGGAGACAGTCCTGCAGACAGTGTTTAAAAACCACATTATTGTTTTAACAACCTCTCCAGAGTCTCAGCGGTCCCAGATAGACTTGCAATGCTGTCCAGAGCAGGAAACAGAGAGTAGTTCCCCTGACCCTCAGCCTCCATCTCAGATTCAAAAGTGTTGAGTGAATCCATAGGAGACGGGGACCTGTCACGGCACAGAGAAGAAGCATTAACGATGCATTTGTTGTCTCTTTCTGTCTAAGACTTGCTAGTAGCTCACAGCTGCTAATATAATGTAAATATATCGTAATATAAAAGAGTAACGTTAAGCTAGAAGCACAGACCTCAGTGAAACTGTAGCAAACCAGCAAACCCACTTCTGTCTGCTCGTGCTCCTGTTTGTTTGCTTCCGTCCGTGTGTCAAGCGGAACCTTCACTCCTCTTCATCGCGTGTGTTTACATTTGTTCAGAGAGTCTAAAAGCTACCGTCAACCACTTAACCACTTAAAACTACAAAATGGAGCTGTATACAGAAGATGTACTAAGTAATATGGTTCTTAAGCCAAAAACAAAACACGAGTATATCGACGGGGTACGTAGATAGAGGAACAAAAGTCCGTGGCTCACACCGGACGGTATTCATGGTAACATTTTTACGGAATATCCGGTTTAGTTTGTTTTGAACGGAGCCGTTTTAATACAGTACTGTTTTTTAAACGTTTCTGAAATAGATAAAACAACAACAACAATAGTAATACTACAACTAATAATAATAATAAAACTACTACTGATAATAATGCCAATTTTACATTTACAATTACGGACAGTGGGACATTTTAGATGGAAATTGTGCAGTACTTGTAAACGACACTTTTGATGTTAAATTATGGCTCAAATAAGGGTTAATACGATTTTGAGCTTGTGAAATTATCAGATTAATTTATTTCAAAGCATGTGGGGGCATATCATTTTTCAAACCTGTAAAAAAAACTGAGAAGGTCACGTTTGTAGGTGTTGAATACTGTAAAAGGGGGCAGAAGTAAGCTACTTGACATTTATGTCAGTCTATCTTACACACTGCGGTCAAGTCAGCAGACACTCCGATCTCCGTGGTCAACTCAGCAGACACTTAAATTGTAGTGCACATATACGCTGAAACTTACGGTAAACGCAACCAAACGGTACAGATCGGGAGCGAGCGAAGGATTTTGCAAAGTTAGCGGAAAGATTAACGTGAGATAACTTCCGGTTTTCTACCTTAAAAACTTCAGAAATTTGCCATTTGTAGATACAAATTCAGTTCAGAGTTTTTGCTTCGTAAAATATCTTAATTGACCGTCAGTCAGGTATTATTAACTTCCAGCAACCCTCAAATCAAAGAATAAAGACACTTTACGCACAATTTAGGTGTATTTTCCCTTTAACTCAGGAGATGCAGGTAGCATGTTTTATACTTAATGTGAATATAATTAATTTAATCTCATTTCATTATGCAATATGTATACTTTGTTGGCATCTTATTCTGAAAACCGGATGTTCGTCTGGAGAAAACCGGAAGTTGTCTCACGTTAATCTTTCCGCTAACTTTGCAAAGTCCTTCGCTCGCTCCCGATCTGTGCCGTTTGGTTGCGTTTACCGTAAGTTTCAGCGTATAGGTGCACTACAATTTAAGTGTCTGCTGAGTTGACCACGGAGATCTGAGTGTCTGCTGACTTGATCGCAGTTCTTACACCATGTGGAAACTTTGAGTGAGAGAAAATAGTTTTCTGCTTTTAATCTGAACACAAAGTTTACAAAAGCAGATGTTTTTCTCAGGCTTACCTTAATGTTGATACAATTAGTTATTTATATATTCTTATTTTTCTCAACTGCAAATTTTTACACCATTTTATACACCATTTCTGAACATAATTTAAGATAAAACTTGAATCATGTTCCTCTTTCCAGTTTTTTCTTTTGTCTAAAAGGTCTTCTCATAGCTGAACTCCATACGCATCAATAGTCAAATAGCATTGTTTCTGCTCCAGCAGCTGTTAACTGATATATTTGTGATCTAAACAACTCTCGTTATGGTCAAAATAACTCTCAAAAACATATTCTCTTTCTTTTGATTTTTTAGTTTTCCCTCTTTCTGGCACCTTCAGTGCTTTAAAATAATATCTTACCTCATTCCTCATCATTGCAAAATGGCCTATGTGGCACAGACTTAAATGTTTGTGTGGCTGTTTCAAGTGCAGAGAACAAAACACAGATTATAGGGAAATCTTGCAGAGCATATATATACCACACCTACAACCAAGGAGAAAAAAACAGTCCTTCAAATCCACGAGTGACTGCTAGAAATGAGACTTTAATACAATGGAGATCAATTTAATTTACTATGTGATGCTAACATAATTGTAAAATTAAATTTGAAATTTTCAACAGCAACATGTCTTTTTTCCCAGAGACAATGTCCTGGTCTGTCACTGTGGACAGTTTTCGTTCTACTGGAATAGTCCAAATAACAAATGTTGACTGGAAAGCGATGTTGCCGTTCATTGAAGATGATAGATATAAGATCCCATTCATTATATTGGAGTGGAAGCAGAAAGTTCACTGATAAATATCTCAAACCTTATTTATTTTGGTGAACCAGCCCTTTAAAGCTCCCGTATTATGGTGGTATCTCCTGCACTTAATCACCTCCTTGGTTTGTTTTGTGCCAAGCATCTCAACACTAAACCATAAAAGACCATAAAACACTAAACCATAAAATCCTTAATTTATCCGTGTTCATGAAAACAGTAGTGACTGCTCTCTTTCTAAATTGGGATCTCCTCTCATGTGGCCAGAATTGCACTAAACAAGCCCTGTGGTCCTAATTCTAAAATTGCAGCATACAGGCAAAATACTAGATTATTTCACAACATAACAGTTAGGACATGATCAAGAAGAACTAATGGCTTGAGTTGTTTGCTAATTTTGTATCCAAATATATATACTCTGCAAGCTGGGGCCTGTTATGACAATTTGTGCAGTGGAATTGCAGAGGAGCTCTTTATTTGTAACCCTTGGATGTGTGCAAAGGGTAACTTTAAACCCCTTTAGTTTAGATTCAAAGTTGTGCAATTTAGCTTAAACATCTCCAAACAAATACGTTCACTATTGGTGCTTATTTTCCCCATGGAAAAATATGAACATTTCGAAGCAGGTCAAGGATAATTTACAGAATTGATTGAATGGTTATCACTCACTGACCTTTGCCTTGGTTTGATCCTGTTATTTGCCATGCGCCAACAGTAGTTAGACTGTCTCTGAAAACTGTTATCCCACATCATAACAATAGATAATACTGTCATTCATTTAATTTTTTTTCAACTGCAGTCACATCTTGTACAGAGACTTGTGTAGGTGAGTTCTCAATAGCAGTTGAGCCAGCCGTAGTTGAGCAGTACACGGATCACTCTCTTGTACTGCAGGTAGTATTCACTCTGTCTGGGGCCATTTGAGAAGTATAGGTATCCTGTGGGAGGGAAGATTCAATTAATATGCAAGTATTGATGTTATTATGGTGAATGTGTACGCAAACCGCTACCAATTAACACATCCAGTAGATACAGAGTAACTTTAGCATTTATTTCGAGCCGTGTTTCCAGCAACCTTACAATTGTAAGTCTACTATTCACCCTCATTATGTATTTTAACTTTAAGCTTTGTTTTGGTCTCCATCAACTCCTGAGAAAAATATTTACGTTTGGAAATACTCCGTGGGTTAGTCACTGCGAAACTTTTCACATGACACATTTTTGATTTGATCAGTTGTTAAAGGAATAACTTGATGCCCAATCAAGGAATAATCTACCACGTAACTCCCTTATGACTTGGACAGAACCAGGCTAGCTGTTTCCCCCTGCTTCCAGTCTTTACGCTAGGCTAAGCTAACTTCCTGGCTGTAGCTACATATCTAATGGACCAACATCATGTTTGACACATGAGAGTGGTAACAATCTTCTCCTCTAACTCTCGGCAGGAAAGCAAATAAGTGAAACAGTCAATCGATTCTCTTAATATAAGAATACTGATTATGATGATGATTGTTTTCCGTTTTGTGAAATGGGGTGAATGAGTTACTTGCACGAAATTTCTCACCATAATTCTCAAAGGCTGCATCCACTTTGGAGCCGATGCCAGGGAAATCCTGAGTGATGAATCGTGGATATCCAAAGTCCATTTGGTTTCTGCCCGCATCATAGCTGCGAGAGAAAAAAGAGAGAGAATTAAAAAATGCCTTGAAGGTATGCAGCCGTACCCAATAAATATCTCAATGGTCGGTGTTTGTATTCATTTTATCTACAAAAGACCAGCGGACACATGGCACGTTAACAACAACAACAAAAAAGACTTGATCATGACACTCACCTCCAATACTGGTTGTTCACAAAAATGAGTGTTTTTCTGGTGGTTGGCACATAGACGGCTGCATCCACCTTACTGACTGAAGAGGGGAGGCCGAGGTTGGTGAGAGACTTTGGAAAACCTGAAATGACTGTTTTTGCATAAGCCCTTATGCCCCAGTATTGGCGACCTGTAGAGAAACATTTGGAGGTAATTATATCGTGTGGTTGCCTACGTCTTCGCAGTACTAATTAAGTACTAAAGAGTATATTCAACATTAAAACCTAACAAAACCCTTATGAACATTACCTTCAAAAAGATACACCACATCCTTGGATGGGACTTCAAAGGCAGCATCGACAGAGTTGATTTGTGACCATTTTGTGTTCACTTTCGTGAAACGGATTCCTCTGGCAGTTGAACTCTTCCTCCAATAGTATCTAGTAAGGATTTAAAAATTGAAATGTAAAAAGATGTAATTACTTATATGTCCCACTCAAACAAGAAGATTGTTACAGCATCAAAATGTACCCGTTTTTGAAGAAGAACATGTCTCCCCTGATGGAGGTAGCAGCATCAAACACCAGGTCGCGGCTGCACTGCTCATTTCGTGGGTTGGGCAGAGGGTCTGGGTTCGGATCCTCTGTTGGTTCCTCTGGTTCTGGTCCAGGGTCCGGGCCAGGAGGTGGTTCAGGTTTTGGTGCTGTTGTGGGTACTGATGTACGGCTGCCTGAGAGATGGATTAGCAACATCAGAATTGACTCATCTAGAATCTTTAGTCATCATATGGCAAATGACTATCAACATAAAAACTAAAAGACGCACTTTTAGAAACATGTATTTATGCTTGGGCCTTAAACCCATGTTTAAAGCTAGTCTGACTCTCAAGCATACAAACCACAATGAATATAAAATAGATCCAGAGTAATTCCAATGCAGTTCATTCCATCCAAATGTGAAGTTGAAAATTACAAAACTACAGCACAGGATATTCATTTATATGTCAGTTGGTTACTGGTTGAATAGAAGATTTTGCGATGTTGCTCAGAAGAAATTGGCTTGGCCTTAGTTTTGCAATATCCACCTTGAAAAGTTTTAATGGAAGATTGTCTCATCCTAATTTAATCCAATTTTAATGTCAAAGACTGCGTGGTGTCTGATGTTTTGCTCACCATAAAGGGCTTGAACCCCACGCTTGTCATCGTCTGGCAGCCTGTATCCGTTTGTGTTGACATAATGATAACTGGGATACATTAGTGCACGTCTGTCCCTGGAGTGATCCAGGCCCAAAGCGTGGCCAAACTCATGGGCCGCCACCAGCAGCAGATTCACACCTCAACACAGCAGGTTACAATGTTAGACCAGTTTTGTATACAGTACATTAACTTATCTAATAATATCTGTTCTATAAGGAAGTACATTTGTATATAGTATTTATATAGAGAGAGATTATACAGTATACCTCTGTGGGAACTGCACAGATATTACACTTTACCTCTTTGGGTAAGAGTCCACCTTTCATCATCATCAAAATGTGTGTCTCCACCCTGACCCAGTCCAGGAGAGTTAGCATGAGCCAAGACTCCATTCGCCCCGTCAAAAGGGTAAAAGTCCCCGTGATCTGCAATAGCACAAACAATCTTTAATTGCATTCAGAGAAAAGGATTCACATAAACATCAGCAGGCTGTCTGAGCATCTCTCGTTCAATCCAGACTCACATCCCCCCTTGAAGAGGATCATGATGTCCGCAGCACCGCTGTTGACCTGTTTGAAGTCCAGAGGGATGACATCGCTGTAGAGTTGGAAGGCCTGAGCAATGGTGGCATCCACCTGACTCTGGATGAGATCTTGAGTGTACTGAGTGATCCTGTTGAAATCATTTCATACAGCATGTTGTCATCATCATCATCTTTATTTATATGTTCAACCAACAAAAATACGAACTGAGTGACATAAGTATTGACAATAACAACACGCTCCTATACCAGCTACCTGTATGTTATCAGCCTTTTCTCCCATTTGGGTTTCCCAGCAAAGTGTCCATATCGGCTGATGTCTGACACACCGCACCTGGGTGCCTTCATCGCCTCCACAGTCTCATTATTCAACACACCCGTCACCTGATGGTCAGACGAAAAACGGAGAACATTTTGCCATTTGCCACACGATCAATCCTTTGTCAGTTATAAGCAGTCACAATTTCTTTGATTACAAGAGTGCAGACCTAGACTTCAAAGCTTTCAATTCTTGGTAATTACCTCGAGGCCAAAGAAAGCCTGCATGGTCTCTAGATCCTGGCTGAAGGAGCTCTTAACGATTCTCTGCACTGAGGAGTTTGTCACGCCAACATCAGCGTAGAAGCGAGAGAGGTATCCCTGATAACAGAAGATGATGATTTTATTGCAAGCAATTCATAGTTCATTTAATCTGACTATGGCAGAGCTTATTTCCCGTCTACACAAATTTAGAGACTTCTCGCAACCTGTCTCATCTCTCTCATCACTAGTGTCTTTAAATGCAAGATGTTCCCCTGTAATCACCTGGTCGGTCCAGACACTTCTTACCACTAATATTTATGGAGGATTTTAAGATATATTCTGCATTACCTCCGCCAGGTCTTCGTCCTCTGGTGAAACTGTTGGAGCGATGGTAGGTGCTGCATGACTAAGGGCTAAACAACCCAGCAGCACAATCCAAAAATAAGCAAGAGACATATTTAAATTTAAAAAATTTTTCAGTCCACTCTCCTCTTATCAAGACAGCCTTGGCAGGTTGAGGTGTGTATTGTATAAGCTGAATAAGAGTATGCAGTGTCCCCTTTAGCAAATGTTAACACAAGGCCCTGTGCCAGAAGGGGGTGGGGGGAGTAAATAGTGGCCCCTCTGATAACACAGTAGGAGGATCTTAACTTCACTCATGAAACATCTGTGAAGCAGTTTTTATTGTTTTCTTCTGTTCTTCACCATTTCTTTTAATGAGATGCCTTCATGCACCTCTTTTCATCCCACCTTTATGATTCACCTTCTGATGCGTTTGTATATTCTGTCACATGTGCACAGTGCACTAAACTAGACAAGAGTAATGTACAGTATACAGTAACATGAGAGCCAAAGTCAAACGCTGAGCTGCAAACAAGCATCTCAATTAAATGACACTGATTTGCTTTGTTCATCCTTAAATTCTGGTGTTTGGTGGAAAAGCAGGAACTCACAATCTGTCACTCATCCCGAAAAATAATTTGCCAACATTTAGTTGTTTTCAGTGTTTTCATGTGCTTTGTTATAACGTTTGATTTACAGGGACCATAGTCCAGTTTGGTGGGTAAACATGAGGGAGTGCATTTAACTCACATCACATGACTTTCTTTCAAGGCACTGAGGTCCACTGGTGGAGGCTGGAACGACCTCTCACTGCCATTTCTGGACGCCAATGTTGCTAAAGTCGCATTGCACTGACTTCAAAATCACAGGGACACTTCAGCTCATGTTACAACTGACTGAGTGGACAGAAACTGCTCATTTGCACCTTCCTGACTACTTATATACGTATGTTTTGTCAAGTAAAAAAATACAATCCTTATTGCTTGCAAAGAGAAAAAAAAAGATGGGTGGTCACTGTAAGTACTCTAGAATTCTGATGTACCTGGGTATTTTCATCTTATGTGGCTTTATACTTGTTCTTTTTTACATATTGCACATTTTACACCATTACATGTATTTGGCAGCTGTAATTAATGGTTTACTTTGCAGATTAAAATTTTCAGAATCTGTGATGCATCTAAAAAAACCGCGACCAGCAACAGGATTGAAATGCTGCTGACATGCTAATGCATCTTAGAAAATAATAATATTATATAAAATAATGCAACACCATTTTATATTCTGCATGCGGAGCACTTTTATTCTTAGAGTACATTTTGTTAATAATACCTGTACATGTTTTACTCAAGTGGAATTTTGAATGCAAGACTTTAACTCTTAGTGGGGTATGTTTACATTGGAGCTAAAGAATCTTCCACCACTGCATTGAAGATCAAAGATGAAACAACTGTGCTGTACAAAAGCATCTGAGATTTATGGACAAAAATGACATTTTACTGTCCAGTTTAATAAGACACATCCTGTTCATTTATATTCATATTTACAAAGCTCAAAGCTACGTCTACACTAACATTAGGAGGTTATTAAATGGTACTGAATGTACATCTGAGGACAAACATCCAGGAAAAAAATCCACGATATTTGTAAAAAAATGATACACTTTGAGTTTGATATTCACATTATATGTTCTCAGTACTGTACATCCTTTCATATAAGAAGATGTATACATGTCATTGTACCCGAGAGGGCGATCAGAGATGTAATTGGCATACAGGTACACACATGCCCCACAAATCTAAACTGCAACAATTCAGTCAAATACATGACGTTACCTACTTATTATCTCAGATTTACAACTATAGCAGTTCAAGGATGTTTTCTCAGAAACTTGCCCACCACTGTATTGACTGTATCAACATCCTAGCCAAGAATTTGCTGGAATAATATTCACCACCCGGTTTTGATTGAAGTCATACTGGTAGGATTTTGTCCCGCTGAAGAGGAAGATGCTACCTGTCAACAGAACATCATACAAAAAGTGTGTTATCACTTGGTGTTGTTTCAAAGCAAATGAGCTGAAATGTGAACAAAGAACTTTAGCTGTAAACACAGGATTCCTACTTGACGAACACATTGTTCCAAAACTGGGTCGAATGGCGTTTTCAGTATAAAAGTGTGTCCAGTGCGGTAAGCCCCACCCGTCTACCACCTAAACACAGTAAAAACAAGAAATTCCAACTTCTATTTCAGTTGTGCTCTATTTGTATCCTGCTGCTTAGGTCTATATTATACAAAGTTCATGGCCGAAAAGTGTGACAGTTTTTCTCTTTCCGTTTACCATCTACGTAACTTGAAGGCAGCATCGACCCTTCTCGGTATTCCAGGCCAGTCTGTTTGGATGAGTCTGGGGAAGCCGGGGTCCATCCTTCTCCTGCGCTCATCATACCTGAGATTGGATTATTATTATTAATACATTGATTATTCGTGTCTTTTTCAGTGCGGGAATGTTAGTATGTATAGTTAGTATAGTGCATCCAGCTCAATATTTTAAAATAATGTGTTTGTTGATTACCATTTCTGCTGTTAAGCTATAATCTAGACTTCCTTTTGGTCTGGCAGTTAATTTAATAGTCATACAAACTCATGTACTGCCTTTGAATGGGTGTTATAGGTGCAGTGTAGATATGGATAATGTATTTATTCATTCATTTTGATGGGTTTTCCTTTTCATGTAAAATATACATGATCGAAACAGAAAATAATGTTCAAATGTGAAGCAAGTTAGCAACAGAACAAGTCACCTGTAATAAACCTCTCCTGTGAAGAAGACCGTCTTCCCAGATTCACTGATATGCACGGCAGCGTCAACCTGCCTGACTTGGGAGGAGAAGCCGTACTCGTAGATGGAGCCAGCATGACTTTTCATCTTAAGCTCTCGAACCACACAGTACATATGACCTGGAAAAACACAGCCGTGTCACTGCATTTTGGAACACTATGAAAAACAGCAACATACCACAAGCACTGCCAAACTCAATTAGCCTCTTGCATGGACTGCATCACTTAAGTTGCACAAGGCTGTAATTTGGTCGCATTTTGTGTACCCCCCCTCCTTCCCCACTGGAAATCCAGCAATGTCATGCTGACAAACCCTAAGTGATGCTTTGCAGACTGTCCATTACTCTACCAGTGAATATGTACGCCACGCCTTTGGCAGCGATGTCATACGCGGCATCCATGTGAGAGCTGATGCCGGGTAATGTGCTGCTGTGGCTCTCTCTCAGGCGATTCCAATAAGTTGTCTGCGTTGTTCTCATCCACATGTACCTGGGTTGAAACAATAGGCAGACTCAGTTGCATCTTTGAAGGTCTGTTGCAATCATAATATAAAACATATTTGACATATTATGTACCTGTTCTTAAAGAAAACTATCTCGTTTTGGATCATAACTGCTGCATCAAAAGAAAGGTTGGGGTCACACTTTTTGGGAGCTGGTTGTGTTTCAACTTTTCTTGTTTCTTTTCCTAAGAAACGTTGGGACAGAATGCATTAGATATGGCATTGCACATAAAGGTGCACTCCTCTCTGATCGTATTATTTCCATTTTGCGCAAACAGTCACTGCACACTTTTAATTTCCTCCTCACCATACAGTGTTTGGATCCCAAGCACATCATCGTTGGATAGAGAGTACTGCGTGCTGCTTTTATACCTGTAGTTGGGGTACATGATAGCAGAGGGGTCTTTTGAGTGGGTCAAACCCAGTGAGTGGCCGAGCTCATGAGCTGCAACAGCGAACAGGCTGTAACCTGAAACACAGCAACAGACAAGTCCTATTAGTACATTTGGCTGGTAAATCCTCACAGAATTATGCTGAAAATGTGTTCTTCTTCATCACAGTATGAGGAAGAACTACAGAGTGCTTCTATGTGGGGCACAATGAGGTTAAAAATGTCCTTGTTGTTGTTCCTTTGTGTTAAGTTTCCAACGGAGAAAATGCCATCCCAACATAAGAGTGCAGAGGATGTTATGGACAAGGTTTTTCGATTTTACAGTGTTTTGGCTGACCCAGATGTTCATCCGTATATGAACGACGGAGACACGACTCTCAGCTGCCGAGAGCAAATACAAACTTGCCCTCCGATTTCAACAGAAACGGAATCAGTCTGCTGTAATGAATGTCAGTGTCAATGTTTGGTGGGTTTATTTTGTTTATTTGTCAGACACAGCGCAATTGCCGCTTGCGTGTAATGCATCCTGGTACATGTAAGCACAACCGGCCTGGCTCCGCAGCAGGAGAGATCAGCTTTCTCAGTAAATACAGCACAAACTGCAAGATCAGCAGTGATAGGACATCAACGTAAAAGGTGGAGAATTTCCCCTTTAAGGAAAAGTGCAAATACTAACATGTAAAAATAAGTAAAAGGCTTGGAATCAAAGTGTTGTCAGCAAAATGTCCCCAAAGTATCAAAAGGAAAAATTCTCATTGTGCAGGAAATTTCCCCAATGACATTATTATATCATATTTTGGTTAATTATTATGTATCCATTAGTGTGTTGAGTTGATCTTTGTTTGTATATCCTTAACGTAACTAAAACTGTAAAGTGGAGTGAAAGAAACAATGATTCCCTCTAAAATGTAGAAGAACATTTCATAGCTTCTGATTCTTAGCTTCTATGCGACGGAAGCTAAGCTATAGAACATACAGTAGATACGGAATTATCGTGTAATCTTTTGTGTTTCATTCTGACAAACCTTGCCTCCCTCCGGCCCATGTTTCATCTTCATCAAAGTGCACGTCTCCTCCTATCCCCTCTCCTGGCTGAAAGGCGTGAGCCAGCACTCCCCGGGGTCCATCAAAGGGAAAGAAATCTCCATGAGCTGCAACAGAAAATACACTTCTTCACGCTATGATTTGGAGAGGACTCTTTCTTTGTGTATTATTATTAACAATGAATGGTAATTCTTGAGAAGGGATTTTCAGATTTACTTCTGCGGGCGAAGGAGAAGACGATATCAGCTTTGCCATGGTTGACTTTGATGAACCTCAGCGGTGCAGCATCAATCCACATCTTCAGGGCTGAACGAAAGGACTTTTCCACGTCCTCTCTCTTCATGTCCGGAGTGTATTTGGCTATCCTGCAGGGCCAAAGAGGGACGCACAAACGTGAGACAGTAGGAATAACAAGTTCCACAGCTGCAGCTCCCGTAACATATCATCTGTTGTCTAAATGAAATCTGCAAGAAAATACTCATTTTAGAATATTACGGTAATCAGTAAAAACAAAAAATCTCACATGTACGTGATGGTGTTGTTCTTCCATTTAGGCTTTCCGGGGTAAAAGCTGAAGTTTTCCACATCTGGAACACCACAGCTGGGCTCCTTCATCACATCCAGGGTGGTAGAGTCCAGACCACCTGTCTCTCTCAGACCAAAGAAGGTTTGCATTTCTCTGATCTTCTCCTCCATGGTTGACGACGTGGACCTGACCCTTCTCCCCGACACGCTGCCTCCGGGGCTCGGGTTGTAAAACCTCCTGAGGTAGCCCTGTTGTTGAGAGGAGTGCAGATCGGGAGGATCAGGTCTTAAAGGTGTTTTCTCTAGTCTAGTTACAGTATCGGTATGTGATGTAGTCTATGTTTGAGGTGAGGTTAAAGGCGCATTTTTGTTTTCAGATGCAAAGACAAACTAGACTTACAAGGGATTACTAATTATCAATACAAATCATTTCCCCCTAAATTACAACTACTAAATTGTGTTGCCATTTTTCAGCAATGTTATTTTTTTCTAATTTGGTGATTAATTTCATGAAAGAAATAAAAAGTATGGATTATCCCTCACTGACCGTATTAAATGCACAGTTAATTATGTCAATTAAAAGAGGGAGATGAGGGGTTTTGACATAATTGAGAAGTGGATTTGCAGAAGGAGCTGCAATTTAAAGCCATAGGGATACCCCGTATTTAGTGTTTCTCTGTCCAACTGGTCACATTGAGATACAGCCATACTTGGAAATTATTAGTATTTATATTAGTATGTGTTGTGGTTCCACTATGTGCAATAGAATTAATTGACAGTTGACCAATTACCTCTCTGACAATCATAAAGCAGTTTGTTTAAAACAGTTCAAAAATAAGCATTTAAAAAAAAGAAAGATTATTGGTATATTTGTTTCAATAGTGGTATATTAGGAAATAGAAATAGATGCATACATTGCAATGTAAGTACAAACTCCTGCATTAAGCTGTAGTAATATATTACCTTTTTAAATAAATGCACAGTAGCAAAACATTGCTTGGCTGCAGTTTGCAAAATGTCCTGCACAACCAAAGTCACGTTCATAATCATGTAAGTCAATATGCATTAGCGGCAACATTTCAAAAGGGATATCTTTGTCTAAAATAAACCATAAAGACAGTCGTCCACCTACAAACCTCAGCCAGCTCCACATCCTCAGGCCTCGGCCACTGATCCTGATCGATGGGTAGAGTCCACAAGACTTCTGCTAACACCAGAGAGCCCAAAACAGGTATCCACAGCCAGAGCAACTCCATCTTTTAAATGCACATTCCACCAAGCTTCACTTTTTTTATAGGGGAATATTCTCAGGGGCAGTTGGGCAATCACATGGCACAAAAGCACAGAATCATGGTAGTTACAGCTGGGTCTACCTGCCCCGAGGTTTTGCGGTTAAAACCTCCCAATGAAACGTCTCCATAAAACGTCTAGGCTTTCTGTCTGTTATGGGGAACGACGAGTGTGTACAGCGTGTTTTATCGTACAGAAACCATAAGCCGAAAGTGCTATTTGTGAATTGTGGAACATTCTACTCACAAGTCAAAACCTGCAGGCATTAGTGAGGCAAACACTCGTCATATCTTTATGTGTTCACCACTGTGATGTGCAGATTAGATAAAAACTAACCACGAGACCTGATGCTGGTAGCATGTTACTGTGGGATGCATATACAAAGCACACACACATGCGTTATCAGGTTTGAATAGTAATTATTTTATTTTGACAAACATTGACTGATAAATAAAACTCCACTCGGAAGTGAAGAAGCACAGTGTTTTATTTTACTTTTCATAATTTAATTTAATCAAGGCTTTCAGGACATTTTGCTCTCTGCATGTTCATGGATTCACAATATTTCAACATCCGAGCCAGGAATTTGCCTTCTCAACTCCGACAACGTGTTTCTGGGTGTAGTCGTATTGGTAGACTTCTGGTCCGACAAAGAAGTAGATAAAACCTGAGATGAGGGGAAAAACAAAAATCAAATGTTCAAGAAACAAACAAGCCGATTCACATATTTAACCTTTATCATGTTGTGTTGTCTGGAATGTTTTTGCTGTTTGTTGTTGATGATCGTGATGATGAGCGTCTTTCTGAACTTAAGTATCCACTTTTGCTCACAGCTGAAATGACAGTATATCAAATGAAGGCCTTTGAGTGGTAAAGTGGGTAAATTATACCGTTTAAATCATAGAGGGGATCCACATGCTCTGTAAAAACGTCACTACACTCAGCTGATGTTGCATGTAAATAAGCATTCCTGTGCTACTAATAACAATACAACTTGCAAAAGCCCCTTCAGGCTACAGACAGAAGTATACTACCTCCTAACCCGAGACAAGGTTACTGCTCTTTCAAATAAGGACATCACCCTGTTTGTCGACTGTAGTTATGTGGCTTGTTGAGGAACATTTTTAGATTTGAGTAACATTCAAGTGAACAAACAACTTAACTTACATTTCAAACATATAAAGTGGGCAATAATAATTACGCTGGCTCACCCTCTTTATGAACGGCGGCATTTATTGTTGTGTTGACTCCAGGAAAGTCCTCGCTGATGTACTTTGGGTAACCAAAATCCATAACCCTTCGGTTTTCATTGTAACTGGAAAAGACACGATACAAACAATGTTCGTCAGAAGTCATGATCCTCTGTTCCTCTTTCAAAGCTCAGACATTTGTTCTTGGCTGCTACTGGTACGGTCACATCGTGAAAATCCAATTTGAGCCCTTTGCTCTCTGTGTGAGGTCCAAATGACGAACAAAACATCTCAGTCAGATCTGAGTCAACATTTTTAAATGTGCAAGTCCCTACCTAGCGGTGCTTTGTCATTTGCCTCGGTTATGCCACAACACTTTCATTTACTATAATACGATTTTCAAAAAAGTAGTTAATTGAAGCATAAAAAAAGTAGGCCAACGGTATGATTTTATTCAATTCAATCAGTCTGTAGTGCACGCGTACATGACTTTGTTATGTGGCTTTGGCTAATGCACGATGTTGGACAATTTCAGAAAAAAAGAATGCAAAATGCTCTGTAGGTGAGTGCAGGCAAAGAAAAGTGGTCCTTTAAGGGAGTGCAAATGCTATCATGGCTGATTTCAACTTGAGTCACCAGCTGCATGCGGGGGTGCTGCACCGCATGCAGCTGGTGCCCTGAGTCCAGCACTGGTCACAAGTTTATAAGACTGGAACATTGCCATAACACATATATAACAAAAGTAAAGATATTTTAAAACGAATGTATTAATGTTGTTGCCTTACCTCCAGTAAATATCATGCATAAAGAAAAGGGTGCGTCCTGTTTTCACTATGTGCACTGCTGCATCAACGTCCTGGACCCAGGCTGGAAATCCAAAGTGGCTGAGTGCTCGAGGCTTTCCCTTCACAAGAGAGCCTTTCACTGTCCAGAACGTAGACTCTGACAACACAAAGAAATACAATTCAGTGGAGTTTTCTTTTCATAAATGAGAGGCGAAATTATTTACATTTTTAGGTACTGAATTATTAAAAACTGTCACCGTGAATGAGGTAAGCGGTGGATCTGCGGGGCACCCAGAAGGCCGCATCGATGCTGGTTTCAATCTTGGGCATAAAGTTGGTGATGGGACCTTCTTTGATGTCATAATGCTCATTATGTTTAATCCAGAGGTATCTTGTGGGAAAAACATTGTCGCTTAAGTCGAAACATTAAAACCTCGACCTTATCGTCTAATCGGGACATTTAAAAAAATCAGTGCAGTATTGAGGGAGTGCTAAACAGGCTGTAATGTGGCTGCTCGGGGCAACTGCTTAACCAACATTTTCCATGAACTAAACATATATAGTTGTGAATAAATAAAGGAAGAATAATCATCAACACACCTTTCTCTGAAAAAGAAGGTGGCATCCCCAAGAGTGGACACGGCGTCAAAGGTCAGGTCTGAAGCACATTTGTTCTGCATGAGTTGAGGAAACGGAGATCCTGACTGCCGGGGGTTTTGCTGAGAGCTCCAGCCAAACCTCGAAAAGTAATGCAGACGACCTGTTACTGGACCTATAACACACATCCACTTGATTGAACACTCAGGATTTAAAAATGTAACTAAACTTTATTAATGTTACTGTCAGCACAATAAATGTATAGCTGTAAATAGATAGAGCTTGGTTACTGTAAAGTGCATTGATATTTGCTACATCTTCTCCGGATAATAGGTTGGCTGAAGGGGAGGGTTTGTAGGTCGGGTACATCAGTGACTCTGGGTTTCTGGAGTGCTTCAGGCCCAACGCATGGCCGAATTCATGTGCAGCTACAACAAACAGATTAAAACCTGCAATAGCACAAAGAAAGTGCATCCAAATAAGTGATATTCTTCAGTATCATAGTGGAGTGGCAGCATTATCCAGTTCAGCACCTGTTTCTCCTGCTGTCCAGTGCTCATCGTCGTCAAAGTGCGTGTCCCCTCCAATGCCCAGCCCTGGACCGAAAGCATGAGCCAGTATGCCTCTGGGTCCGTCAAAGGGATACAAGTCACCATGCGCTTAACGACACAATCCAGGCCAAACATGAAACAGAAACCCACAGAGAACACAATTTTCTTTTAAGCCAAAAGAAAATTACGGGTCTCCGTTCGTCTAAATGTGATTGTGTTTTACACGATGCTTGTTATATCACTGAAAAGTGCACGTTTCATCCTGTGACTCAAGCTGCTCCATGCACTTCCGAATGTCACCTACACCTGCCCTGTGTGAAGCAGAGAAGACAAACCCACCATGGGTCACAAACTCCACCATGATGTCAGCGTTGCGGGTGTGCGACCTGACGAACGTCAGACTGCTGGCTCGGGCCCAAACGCTGAAAGCTGACTCAACCAGAGAGTCCACAGTGTTGCGAAGCAAATCTCTGGTGTACCTGCCAATGCTGAAACAAGACACAGTGGTCCCTAAATATAAATCAAAGAATAAAAGCCAATAAAGTCCATAGATAGTCCATAAAACTTTTATGATTCAAATGGTTGTACAGACTTTACTGCCTGTCGTAGTTTCTCTCTAATTATGCATCTATTCTGTATGTGACCCAGCAGACGTGCCTCAGACAGGACTAACGAAGAACTGGATCAGGACGTTCCAGACAGTCTTACATAAGTTCAAGCATGTATGGTGAACTTGACACTATAACAAGCCCATAATTACGCTCAGAGGCAGGAATCCCAAACCCCAAAGAAATCTGTTCACCACAATGATTTGTGACAGCTGCTTATTCCCTATTTCTGCCAAAGGTTTTATTGCCTGCTGCCTCACAATGTTTCCCACGTATTGGCGGGGTTCGCATTCTATGGACAACCAGACCGCTATATTTTTGGCAAGTTCAGCCTGGGTCCGACAAGCCTACATTATTCATTTACAGACTTATGGTTCAGACTGTAATTCTACTCCACTTTAACAGCAATAAAATCTTGATCACTAAACATCAAGACCACATAGATACCTGTAGGTGATGACATTCTTGTTCCACCGTGTCCCCTGGATGTGGCTGTACTCCTCCACATCTGGAACACCACATCGAGGGCTGCTCATCGTCTCCAGTGTGTTTGAGTCCAGCACGCCTGTCGCATTGAGACCAAAGAACATCTGCATGTCCTTCACCTTGGAGGTGAAGGAGGGCCCGTTCCGCTTCATGCGCCCCATAGGCTCCTCTTGCAGGTTGTAGTACTGTTGGAGGTATTCCTACGAGTAGATTCGAGCTGCAAATCAGATATCATGTTGCACTGAAGAGCCAGGTAAATCAACTGGTCCTGCATAACTCAGTGAATGCCAAGGTGGAAGGTATTCCCTCTGTGGATCCTTTTTGTTTGCATTCATGCATTAAAGCAGACTAAACATTATTGTCATACTTTGTAGCATCCATCACATTGCATATTACGTTTATTCATAACATCTATAAATCTGCGCCCTTGGGTGATCAGATTTACAGCATCAAATGTCCATTACACTGTCTCTAATTACAAATAAAATCCTTCAAAACAATAAACTGAATAAAGACTTTGCAAACATTGGTAATCATTCCCATGTAGATTGTCTTTCACAACAACTCCTTCAACAGAAAACAAGAAATACATGTATGAAAGGAAATTAGGGAGAGAGAAAAAAATCAGTTTAAGTTTAACAAATTACAAGGACTCCGAGGGCAGTGCAGTTACTTACCTCCGCCTCCCACCCACACAAAAACAAAATAATTAAAAATGTTATCTCTACATCCTACACATATACGAGAAC